CCAAAGTAAAACAGTTGCTTCATTCAAAATATTTGGCCACAGTGATAATCTCTTTTATATGGCAATTTGACTGGGCCATGGGGTACCCAGAAATTTGTTCAGATATTATGGTTGTGTCTGTGAAGGCATTTCTGATGAGACTGGCATTAGCATCAGTAGACTGAGTAAAGCAGATTGCCCTCCGATGTGGGTGGGCCTCATCCAGTTGAAGACTCAGAACAAAAACTCTGAATGAGAGGTAACTCTTCCTGCCTGAATGTTGACCTGGGTGTCAGTCTTTTCCTGCCTTTACCCTAGAACTGAAAAATCTATTCTTTTCAAGTCTCTAGCTTGCCAGCTTTTAGAATGGAATTGAAACCAATGGTTCTCCTGGGTCACCAGCTTGCTAACTGCAGATCTTGGAACTTCTCGACCTCCATAATCTAGTGAGCCAATCCCTTCAATCTATCTATCTCTATCTCTGCTTCTCCCCAAAGAATGAAAATACACAAACACACACAGACACACACACACACACACACATTCCGTTTCTCTCAAGAATGCTGACTAATACAGCCAGCCACTTTAGACCCATCTGTACTTCAAATATTTAGAGTTTTGTTGTTATCTTCAATGTACTAATCTATTAATCTGCCTCTCACAAAATAGGAAGTTTTTATGTCTAAGCTAACGTCTACTTTCATAACCCAAATATTCCTATTTTTATTAACTACTATTTTAGTGAAAGTCTTTACAGAAATGGGGGAAGTAAAGAATACTGAATAAAAGTGTGTTTTATATTGGTCTGGAATATTATGGTAAACAATGTATCTCCCTGAAAAAAGTGGTTCATGGAAAATACAGCTGAGTAAGTCATAGGTACTTGGCATAAAAAAAAGAGGAAGGAGAGGAGATGGGAAGCGAGAGAACGAGAAGGAGAATGATGGGTGGAAGGAGAGAGGAAGGAGAAACTAACATTCCTGAAAGACTAGTTTAAAACTTTGTATGTTATAAAAATAAAACATTTTAAAAGGTAAAATAGATGTATTAAGGGTTTTCTAAGGGCCAGACACTGAGCAAACTGCTGTGAAAAGCTGACTAAACAGAACCCTTTCCAAATGGAGTTGGAGCCGCCCTTGCAGAGCAACTGCCTTGCACAGCCCGCTACTCGATGCTTTAGAATGTTTAAACCGGGCAAAACAACCTTCAAACCGGGCCCGAGCAACACCACACTCCAAACAACTGTCTGTGGAGTTAATAGGAAAACAGATAACATGACTACAAGGGCTGCAAATTGAAGACATTCTTTGGAATCAGTAAACAGCCATGTATAGCTAGCAAATAATTTAGCTTATTACCACCAAGAGAAATTCCTTTCATCTACTTATAAAATTATTTCCCTTCCTCTTCTCATAAAAACCCCTCTGCTTGCACCCCATTGTTGGAATACAATTTAGGTTTCTGCCTAAATCAGTGCTTCCCAGAATTGCAATTCTTTGGACAACAAAAAAAATTTCTTCTCATTTCGGTGTTTTTTTAATTTTAAGTTTAACACTGCTTTGCATGCATTATAATCTCACTGAATGCTCACAAGAAAAGTAGTTTACACTTATGGGATATTTTGCTCAGGGCCACACCCTCTTCTTCATGCTCTTTGTTTATTAACTTAAATAATTCAACGTGTTTTTATCTTTTATGGCAGATGAGGAAACTGAGGCTTTTAGAGAGGTTTAAGTAAGCTGTCCTCATCCACAACTTAACTTACAGGTTAGGTGGTCGAGTTGGGATTTAAATACAGAGGTCTGGCTCTACATCTGTTCTCTACATCAGGACAACGTACCCAGCTTCTCTCAGAAAAAATGATACATGAGAAGCCATGGAGAAGTCATTTACAGCGAGTCAACAGAGTACGGGGTCCTCGTCTCGGTGTCCAATTCCCAAAGTTGTGTAACCTCAGGAAGAGTTACATTGTCTGCGATTCCTGGTCTACTGTCTATAAAACTAGATAAAAGGGTCCATCTTGCCAAAAGGTCCTACTTATATGGAGAAAAAGAGATGATTTAAGGAAACCTTGGTGGTATTAGTTGGATAAATAATAGTAATTATTTTATCATTATTATTATTCTTTTGAAGCTTGGCAGAGTTCACGGATCCAAGCCATACAACTTTCTTGGTTTGTTTCGTTTTTAACCTGACAGTTCCAGCTAATGAAGAAAGTAAAAGTCTACACTGACAGAGGGAAACCAAATCAAAAGAATCAGTACTAATGGGGGATACCAGCTTCATCTCTTTAACAATGTAACGGAAAAGGAACAAGTATTTTCCATTTTACGGAAAACAGAATTACCCACTTACTCTGAGAAAATAAATACAAGATTACTAATGGGCTTTCCTTAAGCTATCCAGAAGTAAATTGGTATTGATTCCTTTCATTGATCAATGCATTCCAGGAATTTATCCACGTACTTGGTTTAAGTATGATATAGTACCAGAGAAGTTAGTTGGTTTAGCCCAAGGTACGTAGGTAATTGGTGACTCAGTGAAGACTACCTTATGTAAACTTCATTACTGTATGACAATCCCTTCAAATACTTTCAGAATTCTATTGAATAGTACAAAAAGTTCTAATCTAGGAAAGTAATAATATTTTATGCCAGCATAAAAATAGTTTGTAACTTTCCATTTGTGCTTCTCTTTAATCTAGATTTAAAGTATTTAAAATTTTCCAATTGCATATCGGAGGAAATTTTTGTTGTTAATTTTATCCTTATTGCATTTCGATGGGTGCTGTAGCCTTTAGGATTTCTGCCTGTGTTCATCCTTATTAGGTGATCCAGTTAAGTTTTGAGGATGTTCTACCTGTAATAGCCATTAGTAGTAGAAACATACAAACAGCCGTTAGGCATCTGCAGTTCCTGAGACTGGGTAATAAATAAATGTCAGGGAACGGCTGGGTTAAAATTCCTAGCCAAATAAGGTAACTGACCAAGGCCCGCCAGATAAGACCCCAGCTCCCAACCACCAATTAGAGACTTTCGCCGTTTTTTTAACTTAGCAACCTGGCTAATAGCTAACTGCCACATCTGCTTCTGTAACCCCGCATTCGCTTGCTCTGCCCTATAAGAACCCCGTAGTCTGTGAGCCAGGCGCGACTCTCATCTGCAGCCCTTTTGGGCACCGTGTCTCTGGACACCCCGAGGGTTCGCCCCTGCGCAGGTAAAGCTTGGCCACCAAATTTATAATTAGACTATTATTTTGTAATCAATAAAATTAGAGATCTTTGAAACCTATCTTCATCTCCGAGAGCGTGCATTGACTCATCTGTTGCCTACAACACTACCTATGTATTGAAAAGCATCTATTCTCTATTTGGAGATGCAAAAGTGTACATAAAGGTGTATCTGTGTATGGTTGTGTTCTATATTGTCATTTAAGGTTAGTTTTAATCGTTTGGATACCTCTGCCACCTGCACCGGTTTCTCCCACCCTCCAGTTGGAGTAATTGCGGAGTCTCATACCCATCCCACAGAACTTTGGCAGGAAGTGAGACTTGTTTCTATACTTCCGCAAATGTACAATCACTTGGGGGGGCGGGGGGGGCGCATGTCGCAATCAAGTGGGAAACTCAGTAGTGGGTGAAACTCACAAGTTAGTGTAAATAGTATTGGTCCTACCACAAGACGGGTTTTGTGACCCTAGACAAGTCACTTTCGGGTTTTCAGTTCCTCGTCTCTCCAAGCGGGGGTGACCATCCTTGTCCTGCCAACATTACCAGGTTTGTCAGGAGAAGCCAGGAGATAAGGAGTGTGAACGACAAAAAGCGATAAAGAAAATTTAAAAATACTAGCATTGGTTGCTAATATTTACATACAGGAGAAGGCAAAGATAAGGATGGAAAACTGCCAACGCCGGCTCCAAGGTGCGCAGTTTCTATTGGTTCCCGTCGCGGGCCCCAACCACCTCCAGCTTCCTCTGGAGACACGCTCCCCTGATGGAGAACCCCCAGCCCAGTACCGTGAGTCTCCCTCCACCAGCAGCGCGGAGCCTGCTTGAAGAATGTTGAGAAAATTAGCAGACACCTGCCACTAGCTAAAATTCGCGCTTCACCCCCGTCAGCCATGGCCAAGCAAGTCCAGTGCCTCCTCATTAGGCAGTGGGGGGCTGTGGGGTGTCGCCCCCAAAATGATTTAGCCCCTGAGCACCGTCTGTGTCTTGGGCAGAAGGAGTCTGGGCTAAGGAGACATTCAGGGTTGAGAGCCTCAAGGGCCTCTGCGCTCTCAGCAAGCAGCAAAGGCGTTAAATCTGAGCACTCAGCCTCCCTCGGCAGGGCAGGGATCGATGAGGTTCTGGTTGCGGATTTCAGGGACCGGTGTTCTTCGCGTCCGCACCTCCCGGGGAAGATAACTGAGCACGAGCGCCGAGCACGCCCGCCGGGGAGCTGAGCCCGGGACCGGGCGCAGTGTCTGCAGCACCGCGCCACCTCCCAGCACTCTTTCCCCAATTTGCCTTCTAGCTGCAGTCCGAGCCCAAATTAATTCTCTCCACTTGTGAGTGAGCACACACAAGTTCCCTGGGCACGATCCTTCCATCTGTCTACCGGGGGAGTCCAGCTTTTCCACGATTAACCTCGCGGCCCCTGGGCGGATGAAAGGTGGCAGGATGGAGAGATGGGGAGGGCGGGGGAATTGGCTAGCTACCGGGACTAAAAGGATTTGCTTTCTTCGGTTTTTAACCAAAAATGTAGTGGGATACCTGCTCAGCAGACTGCTGCCCCGGCCTGGAGCCCTGGGCTCACTTCGCAGCCGGCTGCTGACTTTCACTCCACAGCCCTGCTCCGCGTCCGCAGGGTTTCGCCCCCTTGCCCAAGTCTGCGGACAGATGCCCAGGCGCGTCAACGTGGGCTGATAGGCTAAAGCCCCAAAGCGTCCACCTTGCGCCTCCAGTTTATCTGCCCCACCCCCACCAAAGGACGTGCCCCTTTGGTAGTATCGGGGCTCCCAGCCCGAAGCTGGGGGGTAGGGCGCCTCCCCACCCCCTCCTCCCCATCCGCGCCACGCTCGGGGTTTTACTGCAGCAGCCGGAGGTGACAGCGACGCCTAAGCCTCCCTGGTTGCTCTCAGAGCCCAGGCTTCCCCAGCAGCCGGAAAGCGCCCTCTCCTGAAAGGCTGATGGGGGAGAAGTGCTAACCAGCCGCAGAGAGACAAATTTAAAAATGTAGAAGTCGCTGGGCTGCATTCCTTTGAGGACGAGCCTGATCGCCCAGGACCGAGTGGTAGCGCGTAGGAAGTTGGGACCATAGAGCAAAGGGGGAGGGGAGTGGTGCAGTCGGCATTCTCTTCTGAAAGGAGTCACCGGAGCAGGGCAGTTGGACACAAGTTTGCGTGGGAGTGTTTTCCTTTTGTGAATAATTAATCCCCGTCATCAGTCTGGCAGAATTGGAGTTTTGGCAATAGCGCGGACCTCGGCCGAACACCCAACTCTGAGACGCTCGGAGGCGGCCCGCGCAGGGGGAGCTCGTAGCGCCTGGAGAGGCGCCAAAGCGCCGGTGCTCACCTAAGCCGCAGAGACATACACCCAGCCAGGAGGTAAGCATCTTCTAAAGTATCTGCTGGAAACGTATTTTTGGTACGATACAATTTCTGCCTTTATCGGGGAAAATAATGCCGAGCTTTAATGCCATTATCAGTTTAGTATGTAACTGCACTAAAATTTTAAGAATTGAATGGGTTTTTCCATTTGCCTTTATGTTAGAAACTATGATGTTTCACTCAATAGAAACTAAACTTTATTATAGTAACTTTCCAAGCCCAAAAAAATTACTTTGTAAATGACTTTCATGACTTATCTTTTTGTAGTTCGGTAATAACGATTCAGAGAAATACCTTTGGGAGCTATTTTGTTTCATTCTTACAGTATTCCTCTTTATTTAATTTCATATACAATAATTTCTTATACAATATGATGCTTTTTGCCCATAAGCTACTTCAGACAATAATGCACACAAGTCAACTGCCCCAAGAGTGATGCATTTTCAAGGAATGCATTTTAAAACATTTTCTCATAATCATTAAGCACTACATATTTTCTCAAAATTGCTTAAGTGATCATTTGTAAGAAACCAGACCTCTAAACCCCAAAAGAGAGGTGTAGTTAACTTTGCCATGGGGGAGAGAGGAGTGGGTAGGTATGAGCAGAGGTTCTAGGTCTGTTCCAGCTAAAGTGATATTCAACTGGTTGGCAATTAATGTATTAGCTCAGCCCACAGCCAGATACAGATTTTGAATAACTTTTAAATGTAAATGTTTACCCTAAAACTACAAATAAACGCATCAGAGAAGTTGGGACAATTGTTTTTCTAAAAGATTTTTTTTGTGGGTCAGTAGTTCTTTTGAATGAAACAAAAAAAAATTAAGAAATGCATGGTCAGTTTTGCTTGTGAACTTTTTGGGTTATTGCCTAAAACCTATTAATGGTGGTAATGACTTGATTTCCACATTATAATTATTCCTATGTTTTTTAAAATAGCATCATTTTGAATGTTTTCAATGGTCATGATGGCTTTGAACATAGATTACTAGAATAACAACAAATCCCTATATGAAATGCAGTCATACTCATTATTCAAATACTTCTATACAACTATTTAATAACAATTAATTACAAATGGTTTGTCAAACCAAATGCATAGGCAGTCTAGAATTTCACAGGGTATAACATTGAAAATTAACCAGTCATCAACTTCAAAGAGTTTTCTTAACCCACGGTTTGTGAATTTGCAAATACTTTTGTAACAATTGTTCTTTCTAACTCAATATCTACTACATCAGTATAAACTCTTTTACCACCAAGTATACAAGATGCAAAATCGTCATTAAAAATTATCCAAATGGGACTAAACCTCCAGAATGGTGGTATGAGGAGCTACACAAATAATCTGGTGTAGCAACACACTTTAGCAACACAATATCTAGTGAAAATTATGGATAAACAATATTTAGTCTCTAGATATTGTCCTGAGAGAATGCAACAAGTGAAGAAAATGAATTCAAGACAGTCTACCAAACTCAGTATAACAGCAAGAGCTTGTAGCATTTGAGCCACAACCCACTTCCCTGCCCTCCTCCAGGTGGGTATCATAGTACCCCACTTCCAGCAGGTACAGCGAAGAACAGAGGGCTCCCTCTCAAAGTAATCCCAGTCCAGGGCTGCAGCATGCAAAATGTGTTTCTGGGAAAAGCAGGCCACAAGCATCTCACCCACCCCAGCTTTGTGTTGCAGAAACTCTATTCTAGTCAAGAGCAGGTGAGAGGGCTGAGGCTGTCTGCTTCCAACCATCCCTCATTCTTAAGGCAAAACAAGGAAAACTCAACAACTAGTAGACAAAAAACCCATTTAAAAATGAGCAAGGGCTTCTAGACATTTCTCTAGAAACAGAATTTCTTCAAAGGAGATGTACAGAATGTATAGTCAACACATGAAAATGTGCCTATTATCATTACTTTTTAGGGAAATGAAAATCAAAACCACAAAATACCATTTCAAAACAACCAAATGGCTATATATATATATATATATATATACATATATAATAACAATTGTTGGAGAGGAGGTAGAAGAATTGGAACCATCATATATGTCTGGTAGGAATATAAAATGTTGAGTTGCTATGGAAAATAGATTGATAGTTCCTCAAAAAAGTTGAATATAGAGGTTCCATATAACACAGCCATTTATTCCACTCCTAGGCATATGTGTGTGTATATATATATATATCTCCAAAAGAATTGAAAACCTATGTCCACACAAGAACTTGTACACAAATGTTCACAGCAGCATTACTCATACAAGTCAAAAAGTAAAAACACCCAAGTGCCATTGACTGATGAATGGATAGATAAAACATGATATCGTGTGGCACAACGGAATATTATTCAGCAGTAAAAAAAGGAATGAAGTGCTGATACATGCTACATAATGGATAAAGACTGAAAAGATTATGCTAAGTGAAAGACCACATATTATATGATTTCATGTATATAACATGTCCACAACAGGCAAACCCAGAGAGACAGAAAGTAAATTCATGTTTGCATGTGGCTGGAATTGGGTGGGGCTGGAGTGGGGAAGAATGGGGAGTGACTGCTAAAGAGTGTGAGGTGTCTTTTTCTGGTGATGAAAATGGTCTAAAATTGACTGGTGATGGCTGCGTAACTGTAAGTATACTAATATCATGTACTTTATATGGGTAAATTCTATGGTATATTAATTATATCTCAATAAAGCTGCGATTTTTATAAATCATCCAAGGTATTTAAAAAAAACAGTTGGGTTTACAACTTGAAGTTCATGAATCCCCATGTACCACTAGACCAGTTGTTTATATAAGGCTTTTTCCCAAGGGTCACATTGAAAGATATGAAATAATTAAGTATAGCATAGATGTTACACAGCTATGTGATTTGCATGTATTTACATACCTGCTCAAGCTTTCTTCTGTGTGACTGGATGGAGAAGAGTAAAGGGGAAAAACTGGAACGACTGTAACAGAATAAAGAATAAAAAATAAAATAAAAGTCAAATGTCATTAGTGTAGTCCTATAGAGAATTTGCTTGCAATGCCTTATCTCTTTGGACTCACTCACTCAGAATATTAATCTAAGCCCAGTGAGGCCAGTTGTTCCTTCTGCTTCTAAATAAGTCCAGTCCTTTCTCAGTTCTGCAGGACAGTTGTTCAGAGAGGTCACACTGGATGAGAGAGGGAGGTTATCTGACACGCAGATTAGCCCAATTTCGCTTCCACTAGATTGGCCCTGGAGGTAGGAGTCTTGGAAAAAGGAAGAGCTGGAGTGGCTGCTATGGTCCTCAGAGTGCGCTGGCATGTCACTGCTGGGAAGCATCTCCTGTGGTTACAGCAATGTCAAGTGCAAGAAAAACTCTTTCAAATGATTAATGTATTCCTCTGTTTGTCTTTTATGTTTTGAGTTCTGATGAACTGTCTGATCCTGTACTAAGAATTTTGGAATGGGATGATAACGCTTTGTCCAAAAATAGGAATATAAAATTAGTGACTGAGTTTCATGGGGGTGGTAAGCAGCACCTGAACTTGATGCCAGGGCCAGTTACAAGAACACTGAACCAAACCTTACCCTGAGCTATAGGGATTCCAGTAAGTCTATCTGCACCAGGAATCCTCAAGCTTTTCCATTCCCACCAGCACAGGTTTATCTCTCCATGACTATGTTTAAGAGAGGATACCATGCTGATGAACATGGGTGCTGGGTGGTTTCTGACCATCAGATCCTGTTGATGGTCCTGTGACTGTCATATTTTGTCCAATTAGAAGATTTCTATAAAATAATTTTAGATGTCTGTTTACTATAAATTAAATACATCTAGGAAAAACTTGATCATAGTTATTATTTATTAATAACACTTTAATCAGGATTAATAATTCATTTATTCAACAGATATTTACTGTGCATCTACCCTTTACCAGGACAATTCTAGGCCTTGGGTGAGTAAACAAAACAGGCAAAAGTCCTGCTCTTGTGGGAGCTTAAATTGTAGAGAGGATGTCAAACATCTAAAACATAAAATATAATAATAATAATAAGTAAATGATATAGCATATGAGAAGAAGCTAAGGCTCTGGAGAAACATTAAGCAGGGAAGCAAATGAAGTACAGTGTTAAACTGTGGCATCACGCTAGAAAGTCAAATTATGTGATTATATCGTGTGAAGACTGCACACAAACCTGGCCATGTGACTCTGGGAGGAGCTGCAAGGATTACCAGCTCCAAGGTAACTCCTCCCCTTAGGAGCTTTGGTTTCCCCTCCCATCACCATTAATTTGGTATCTTGGGTTTGTTGTTTCTTGCTAAGGAAGGTACTACATTAGCCCCAACACATTTCAAGCTGGCACAAGGAAGATATAAATGTAATACCTGCTCTACAGCCAAGAACTACAATCTAAATAAAACACCACCTTATGATAACAAACTTTCTTGTTGAGGGAAATCATTAGCCTGGGCTTTTGGTTTTCTGTTGGCCTTTCTTGCTTTGCCTTGGATTCTTGTAGCCTGCCAGCTGATTGTGTAGTAAGTAATTAAGAACCACTTGCCCAAAATTAACACCATTTGAAGAGTGAAAAAGTAGGGAAGAGGTTGAGGGGAAGAAAAATTTCCAAGCCATCTCACAAAGGTGAAGAGAGAATGAACCTTTCATCACTACAGAATGAAGCATGGAATCCCACAGGTTAGCTGGCAAAGAAGAAGGTGAAAAGCAACCAGAGTCTCCACTCTCCCAGGCTGCCCCAGAATCTCTAGTCAGGGCACCTGTTTTAAAAGAGCCTTGAGGACACATTGTTCTAGTCCAATATAATGGGTATGGAAGCTTTCCTGGAATAGGCTTAAGAAAATGGCTTAAAAGGGAGCACTGATTTGATTTTTTAAGTCAAAAGGTAATATTTATTTCAGGCTTAAAGAAGAAGCATTTAAGAATGTCAGAGTTCTGGTGGGGTAGCTGTCCTGATACACCAAAGTTGTAGGTTTGATCCCTGGTTAGGGCACATACAAGAAGCAATGAATGATTTTCATAAATAAATGGAACAATTATTGATAAATAAACAATTATTTTCATAAATAAACAGAACAATAAATTGATCTCTCTCTCTATTTCGAGTCAGTTTTTAAAAAGAAGAAGAATGGTCAGAGTCATTAGAAATAAGTTAAAAGATACCCTGTAATTGTGAAGTTACTATGGAGCATTAGAATTTTCATTTATTCAACACATTTTAACTGAGCAGCCATGATGTAGCAGGCCCTAAGGGAGCAACGCACAGAAGGACTTTGCTTTAAAGAGGTTACATTGTATGCCTTTTGCTACAAAATGGTTGAAGCACACAGTGATGAGGACAAGAACTCTTGGCCTCCCTGTCTTAGCCACTTCCAGACTGGGTTAGAGCCTCTTTCTATGCCCCAGCGCACTGGGCTTCCCTGTCATAAGTAAGTGCTAAGGAAGTGATTTTACAGCACTTCCCACACTGCGTGCAGGTGCTTGAATAGCTGTCCCACCTCCTCTCTAGAAAGCTGCCCAAGGAGAGTGCCTGTCAGTCTTATTCATAGTCTATGCTCCTACTACATGCTTGTTGACTATTTGATTGAATGAATGGACAAATGGATGGATGGATGCTTTGCTAGATTATGATCAGAGCTCTTTGCATAGAGCAGCAGTCTGGCAGAGTAATTAAGAGTGTGTGTTGTACAATAGCTGTTAGACTTTGGATCAGTTTTTAAATTTTCCAATGCCTCAGTGTCCTCATTTGTCAAGTAGGTCTAGAGATAGTGCCTCCATTACAGTGTCATTAAGTGAACTGCATTAGGTAATACATATACAGTAGTTAGCAAAGTTCTGAGAGTTGCTCAATAAATATGTATTATTACCTATGTAGAATAGCAGTTTCCTTGGTGACAGTATGCTATTCAAATATTGCATCCCTGCCCTTTCGGCTCTATTATAAGATCAAGGCTTGTCTATTAGGAATTTCAAGCTAAAGTTATCACTTTGAGTTCAAGATCCTTGAAAAGATTAAAAAGAGAATTTGGAAATGAATAAAAGTAGGTTATTGAATAACAAAATTAAAAACACTTGGAAGAGAAAAAGTTCAAGGTGGCACTTCCAGAGCACCCTTTCCGGAGCAGCGCGATGCCTCCGCAGCGCCCACACCCACATCCCCACACACAGTCCAAGTACCGGTTCGTCTCTGTCCAGTAAGTGGTCACTGATGCACAAGGAGAAAGAAAAGTGAAAATAAAACTTTATTTGAAGTCGAGTCTTATCTAAACCTGAGTGTTACATTATCTTTCTTTTGAAAATCTAATGACCCTCTTTTTGTGTGAGACCTTGAGTCAGAATTATCATACTACTTCCTCACCTGCAGTTAGTTACCTGTTACCTACTAAATGAGATGGAGTGCCAACCTGCGACCAACTTATGCAAACCCAGTAACTTGAACATTTCCCTCTACTTCTACCAGAGAGAATTCACGTACCTCTTCCCCAACCATGAGGGAAATAACATGGTTTTTATCTTGTAAAGATGATAAACTGCTTCTCTTTTATTCACCCTCTGAAAAGTAATTTTTAAGTAAAATTAGCTTATTGTCACTTTATTGATAGAAAAAAATAGACATAGAAAGAATATGTGACTGCCCCTAATACTCCAGTTACCAACTCTTCTTATTCCTTAAGGCTTTATCTACTGCACAGGGAGAACTTGGCCCTTACATTTTTAATACAATGTTCCATTGCCTAAAACTTTAAACAAAGAAAAAATCAATCAGGTTGGCCTAGTTCTAGTTTTGATTGGCAGAAAAATTAGTTTATAATATGAGACAAAATTGTTGTTCTACAAGTTTTCCTCCATTTAGCAGGAAACAAACACTGGTGCAAACACAAAACAGGTAACATGGTGCCCCACAGCCTTTGGGGCAAATTCTTCCTTCCAGACCAAGGGAAGTCACCATTGTAGCTTCCTTCATCATAGTCTCCGAAGGGTTCAATAGAATCACCTAAAAGAAATCTCTTAAAAGGAGAGGAAATAAAATGCTTGTAGTGAAGAAAGAGTGAAGAAATAAAATGGGAGTCTCTATGGCCAAGCTGCTAAATTGTTAAAATCAAGTAGGTTGAGGCTTGAAAAACAATTTTATTCTTGCTTTAACTAGCCTGGGAACTTAAACCTTTGAACCTTCCAGTTGTGCCTGGAGCTGTACATATATAAATCCTGTAAGATAAGTCTGTAACAGCCCCTAAAGTATTTAGGGGAAAAATGTTTACATGGCCAGCCCACCTGGTGTCTAGCATCCTCTCCACTCGACATTTGTCCTGCATCAATACAAGGGCCAAGAATCAAGACTGATTACCCTCAAGGATGTGACTTTTCCAGCAAGAACTTATCTTTTTTTTTTCTGAACAGTTCTAGGTTTTACCTAGCCATGTTTCTAGTTAGCAAACTTTTAAGACCCTTGAATAAATCTTCATCATTGTTTCTAGCTAAAACCTCTTGATCCATTTATGTTCAGTCAACACTAGCAAATAAGAGAAACAAATAATAATTGTGATGAAAGCAACCCTCAGAAGGTGTTGTCCAGTATCTGCTTTAATAGTTTCCTTAACGGAATTCTCACTACTTCAATGAGGCAACCTCTTTCCCTTTAGGTAGCTGTTATTATTTAAAGTTTTCCTGAGGTTCTTCTCAAGAACAGAACAATTCCAAACCTTCCTCTCTACAATAGCCTATAATACCATTTAAAACCTTTAGGTTTTTTAAGACCTCCATGACACATTCCTCCCTCAAAATCTTCTGTCAACATTTCCCGTTGGAAACCTTCCAGACTTTCTCCATTTGGCTCCTAGGGATGTGCTCAACCTGATGGAGGATGGTCTTCAACAGCTAGAAGAAAGATGATAATCAAAACCAAGAGCTGTAGCCCCCTTTTCTCATCTGTGGAACAGTACATATAAACATATAATGTTTATGTAATGGTGTAAACATATAATGGTGCTATGGCCTGAATCTATTCTCCTAAAATTCATATGTTGAATCCTAACTCCAAAGGTGATAGGAGGTGGGGCCTTCATAAATGGGACTAGTGACCTTGTAAAAGAGGTTCCAGGGATATTCCTTGCCCCTTCCACTATGTGAGGACACAGCAAGAAGGTGCTGGATACAAACCAGGAAGAGGGCTCTCTCCAGAACACCACGGTGCTGGCAACTTGATCTTGGACTGCCCAGTCTCCAGAAATGTGAGAAATAAATTTTTGTTGTTTATAAGCTACCCAGACTGTGGTATTTTGTTATAACAACCCAAATGAACTAAGATGACTGGATCACTTATTTATTTATTTGCCAACCACAGCACAACACTATTGACCCATAATGAACTTGCAGTCAAGTAAAATTCCTTTCTTAGTCTTTTTTACTTAAACTGCTCATAGGCCACATTTCTCCCTATCTCGCCCTTGGTCAATTGACTTTTCAAAGTAAAGAATAAGACTTTATATTTCCTCAAAAGTTTTACCCTTAGTCATTCTGTAACCTGGTCCTATAGAACTCCACTCCGTAATTTGGGTGTATCTGCAATTTGATCTCATACTTTCTTTGATTTAACTCAGGTGAACAAAAATGCTACAAGGGTCAGGAGAAAGTACATAGACCTCAGGCACCCTACTGAAGACTCACTAACCATCTTTATGATGCTTTCCCAATTCAAAACACTTTCAAAAATTATTTAATTCTTATAATTCTCTTATGAATAAGATACTATCATCATTCTATATCTGAGGACAGAAATTTAGAGAGATGATCTGACTTGCCTAATATGACAAGCTAATAATAACAAAATAAGAAACACGCCCTAGGGTTTTTGACTCTGTTTCCAGTAGTTTTTTTTTAAGGATACATTTTTAAATTCAGTGATTAACATAATCTACTTTTTCTTGTTTTCTCCATGGATATCAACAGAGACTAATTCAAATCAAGAAACATTTCCTACAAACAAAATATTACCCAGAAGCGCACTATATAAAACCAGACTGAAAGCAGGCTGCTCTGGTAGAAGCAAGGGGCGGGGCACTTAGCCTCATCTCTCTGTCCCATCTGGGGCACCCTCTCGACCTTGCCATAGGTGGTAATATGACACTTTATGGTCCTTGCTGTACATTGTGAAGTCGCTAGCCAATCAGGTGTCCTCAAAATGTTACCTTTTCTAAAAAGAATTTTTAAAATAAGGCTAGGTTGTCATGCCTTGTATTTATCATACATTCTAAAATGTTCTGGGAGAACACCCATCAAAGAGGTTTAATAATCTTTTACAAGGAACATGTTTTAAATGTGAAGGTATCTTTGAGTTGATTCAAATGTTTACTTTACAGATGAAGAAACAGCAACTCAGAGAGGAGAAGTAACCCAGGATCATTCTGTGGAAGAGCAAAGACAAGAATCCAAACCTGGACCCTCCCAGGCAGGTAAATTCTCCTGATTATTTCATGGAGTCTTGCTTTTAGAAATCTGACCCTTTTGATTACAACATCTTTAACAAGATGAAGTTTCTGGTTCTCACTTAAGCAACCAACAAACATTTATTATGCACTTGATATTGTAATGGCATTTAAGATGACACAAAGGAGGAAAGTGTGGCAATTTTAGCTTTAGTAATGAGGCCTTGAAACATTGGTTCTTACCTTACATTCATTATAGGTTTCTTTGCAGTTTATGCAGAAAACTGTTTATGCAAAATCTGCAAACATTTCAAGGAGTTCGTAGACATCCCTCACCCCACCTCCCAAGTTTTGGCCTCCAGGTTAAGAACCTCTAGCCAACTCCAGTGCAAGTGCCAATGTCAGGATTGCATAGCACCAGCTACTATCTTATTTATGGGTCTGTTAGTTAAAGGCTGCTTCTGTTTCTGCATCCTTCATCTTTTATTTAAATGGAGCAGCATCTTATGCTGGAAGACCTTTGACGCAAGAGAGGAGTAGTGTGTTAATAAGTCATTAGTTAACCAGATGGGACAAATTAAGAGAGAAATATAATAAATGAACATTTTTCTTTAAAAATGTTGACAGTGGGCCCTGGCTGGTGTAGCTCAGTGGATTGAGCAAGGGCCTGTGAAGCAAAGGGTCTCTAGTTTGATTCCCAGTCAGGGCACATGCCTGGGTTGCAGGCCAGGTCCCCAGCAAAGGGACACACGAGAGGCAACCACACACTGATGTTTCTCTCCCACTCTCTCTCCTTCCCTTCCCCTCTCTCTAAAAATAAATAAATGAGATATTTTTTTAAATGTTAACAATGAAAGTGAGGATGGTCAGTGTTCATATTAGGATGTTCATTTTCTTTTTGTTTCTTTTATTTTTAAGAAAGAAAAAAGAGAAATAGAATTTTTTTTAAAAAACTAGATTATCACTAGCTTCCTTCCCATTTTTATTAAATCTACAGAAAGTGGAAAAAAGAGTAATGGGTGTGAACAAAAAGAAATAGATTTATTTTCTAAATGATTGTCTCTTAATTTTTCCCTTTTGCTATAATTTTTAAGAGATTTATGGTTCTGAAATGGTTGACAATAATTTCTTTATTTCAAAATAGTTTGGGCAGCTCTAATATTACTTTGAAGTTATTGATAACAAGGCCTATTGTGCTAATTCAAAAAATAATTCTTGAATACTTAGCATTCAGAAAGCATTGCTATAGGAGTCAGTGTGGTGTGATAAATCATTTTGGAGAGGGAAAATCCAGGGCTGAATACCAGTATTATTTCCTCCTTGACTTTGAGAATAGCAAGTTACAAAAACTTAATGAGCCCCATCTCTGGAATGAGCAAATATATATTTTTATCTCCTTATGACAACCACGCCAGAACTAAATAAATATTCAAAAGGAAAATCTCTCTGAAAGTGACTTCTAATGTAATAACTAATAAAGTTCACTTGTTCTGCCTTTAAAAAATCTCATTCTCTTTTATTCTTTGCCTTAGCAACTGTGTATTAGCATAGTGTGTAATAATCATAACAGTTAACATTTCTTTACCCTTCTTATGCTTCCTCTAAATACTTTATACTTGTTAATCTTCCCAGAAATTGTGTGAAATTCTATTATCATTCCTATTTTCCAATTGAGGAAATTAAGTCCACGCAGTGGAGTTCCTTAGCCAGGGCAAACCCAGACCGAGTCCAGAGCCAGAGCCTCACTCCTCTCCAAGCTGCCTCTCGCCAGGATTCTCACCCAGCTCCCCATGTGTCCACCATGGGGTAAATTAAGTATATTCAAATATATGAATGACAGGTGGGGTTCAAATACATGCTGACAGCTGGAAACTAAACTTTTGCCGGTGAGTGTGCAATACAGGATGCCAATATCAAATTATAATGTTGTATACTTGAAACTTATATGTTGCCATTAACCAATGTCACCTCAGTAAATATAATTAATTTTTTAAAAATTAGGACTCATCAAAGTTAAGCAGCTAGACAGTGCCTGCCACAGTGGTTCTTAATAAATGCTGTATCTGTTCCCTGAAGAGTTCTGAATTATAAGATTCCAGTGCTTTTAAGAAAGAGATCTAAATTTGTTTCCTAGGGCTGCTGTAACAAAGTGCCACATTTTGGTGGCTTAAAAGGAGAAATTTACTTTCTCCCGGCCCTGGAGGCTAGAAGGCTGGAATGAAGATTCCACAGGGCCACACTCCCTCTGAAGGCTCTAGGGGACAATTCTCCCTTGCCCGTCCACGCTTCTCTTGGCTCCAGGTGGTCCCTGGCTTGTAGCTACATATTGCCACTCTCTGTCTCTATCTTTGCATGACCTTTTCCTCCATGTCTGTCTTCTGAGGACACTTGCCATTGGATTTAGGGCTGGCCTGGTTAATACAAGGATGATCTCTTGCTGAGATCTGTAACTCAGTTACATCTATGAAGCCCTGTTCCAAGTAAGATGACAGTCAGTCACAGGTTCCAGGATGTGGACATATTTTTGGGGGGGGCCAGAGGAGGGCACCATTCAACCTACTGTAATGTCTACATCCAAATATTTTTTATGTCTTGGGATATTTCTTCTGTTACTCTTGACAAACAAGCCCACATTCACTCAAAGAAGAAAAAGAACGCTTCATCTCTCCCAGGAGGCCTGTAGTTCTACTGATTACAAAATCTGCTGGCTGAAAATATTGTTCTTACTATGCTCAGTTGTCACAAGCCTTCTGCACATTTACTTGAGAATCAACAACATTTTTAGGAAACAAACAATTGTTACCCATTTAAAAGAACAGGCCTGGACTTCAGCACTTCTCCACTTTTCACTACAAGCGCGCATGCAGCCAGCCATGTGCTTGGGAGAAGGCAAAAGAGAATGAAGCCAACAACAAGAAATACGTTCACGTGGTTCTTCCCAGGAGAATGAAAAAGCTACTTGGCTAAATTGTCAGTAAACTTTTTTCTTTCAGTGCAGTTCATCATTTAAGTAACTCACCTCTAAATACAAGATTACAAAATCTAATTAGAGTATTTCATTGCCTAAAAGCAAGTTTTGACATAACCCTATAAATTCCTGCCTTGTGCTTCTCTCCCCTCCCCCCATCACCACTCAGAAACCACCTCACCCCTAATGTTATAATCAGCCAAGGAGAGAAATGTCCCTTGGTCTGGGGGCTGGTAGAAAGAACACTTCATCATTGCTGACCCTTAGAGTAAGCCGACCTCTCCACTCATTTTCCTAAAAGCAGTAATAAGTAAGATACAGAAGCAGGCCAGGGAGGGCAGTGGAAAAGCAACAGCCCGTGTTACTCTTCTCACAGAAATCACACCTATGAAAGATCAATGTTGCTAGCCACCAAAATGTAAAAAATACTGAGCTCATCACCAGAAGCTTTCAGACAGTGGCATAAGAAATAAAGAATAAGCCAGAAAAAGTGAGAAGGAAAAAAAAGAGAAGAAGGAAGATGAAGGACAGAAAAAATACACAAACAAAAAGTTTTATGAGCAAACTCATTCAGTGTTACCAAAATAATGACAAAAAACACAGAGAAGTAATCTAAGAAAATACTGTTGGAAGAGTCTTGATTGGCCAGCTGCCTGCACAGCCAGGTCTCCATGGACAGAACCCTGAGAACAGGGGCTCAGCAGGCACGCTGTTGACAAACCAGTAACTCACCTTCCTCACCCTCAAACTCCTCCTCGGCAAAAAGGCTTCTCTGTTCCTGAGGACTTTTTACATTAAATAGAATGGCAATAGGTAGGGAAGAGATAAAGGTTTCATATTTTACGGTCTAGCTTCTAGCTCCTAAAAAACCAAGCCCTTAGAAACAAACAGTAAGCATGTAAGTTCGCTTACCAAATTGTGAGTTTGATGGGCAAGAGCCAGAGATGAAAGGGAAAAGGCAGAACTTGTTACAATACGCACAGAACACAGTTTTCAGGAAAGCAGTTTATAAAGACAGAAAAGTAATTTCGACCGAACGATTAAGCCACTTTTTCACTCTTACTCCCTTTTAAGTGCCGTGGGTGTTGGGGTCTTATGAGCCCCTTATTTGACATCCTTATTAAAAACAGATAGGCATATCATAGAATTTATAACTTCCACAAACACTATAGAAAATTAAACTACTGGAATTTCACTGATGCCAAGAATAAACCTAAACACGTCAACCCTCCTCTCAGAAGGAAGTTTATAGTCTGGCAGTTCCCAGCTTTCCCAAGAAGAAAGAACCCCAATCAGGAGTTCACGATTCCTACTAGGACACCTTTGGGGCTGTTGACTCAACTTTGGACAATATATCTATGGAATTTTGCTAGGCTATTAATGCCCCATTGGAAACTAAGAATCTCAATCACTTTTTAAAAATAATAGTCAGACTATTTCTAAGTACATTTTGCAATTTCAGTCCTTCATAATTTTCAGAATTATTCATTGACATTTAACTTTTTAATTCTAGTAAAATGCATATAAAATAAAAGGTTATTATTCTCAACCATTGTCAAATGTACTCCAGTAGTGTAAGGCATATTTACATTGTTGGGCAACCAGAGTATTTGCATCTTGCAAAACTGAAACTCCATCCTCATCAAACAACTCCCAACTTCCTGTGTCCTCCAGCCTCTGGCAACCAGCATCCTACTTTGTTTCTATGCGTTTGCCTAGTCTACATAGCTCAGGTAAGTGAAATCATGCAGCGTTTATCTTTGTTGTGACTTACTTCACTCAGCATAATGCCCTCAAGGTTTTCCATGTTGTGACACATCGGAATTTCCCTACTTTTTAAGGATGAATAATATTTCATTGTCTGTATATACTCCATTTTCTTTACCCATCTATCTGCTGATGGACGTTTGGATTGCTCCCACTTTTTGGCTACTGTGAATAATGCTGCTTTAACATCGTGTACATTAAATGACTTTGTAAAAATAATTTCTCATGGCTTTAAGGCCATCATCAGTGTTGCAGCTGTTTTCATTTTTACTTCTAAAAACAACTTGGTAAT